AGTTTCTGGGCTGTAAACTCCTATACATTATCCAAATAATGCCATAAATCCATTCCAAGGCTTGTAAAATTAGTTTGAATCACATGTGATTGATCTAAGGCCACCAAATAATTGAGAGAAGTAAGGTATAGGAGCTTACGGCCGTAAACTCCTAGTTTAGGGCCGTAAACTCCCATTGATGGTTCCTTTGGTGGTTTAATTCCTTCCTATGCCTTAGATTAAATCCTAGCAACATTTCCCAAGTGATATTTGACCCTTAAGCACCTTAAAACCCATCATCCATGAGTTCATGGCTGTGAACTCATGTGGACATGGTCTTAGGGCCGTAAACTCCCTAAGGAGTTTACTCTTGAAGGGAAAACTCATTATCTATGCCCTATACATCGTAGATGCCACCCAGGTCACTCCAAACACTTGATTTGAAGTGTTTTCGCGTCTTGGAGTGTATAATCACATCTAATTTGTGAATTAAAGTCTAATTAGATACATTTATGTATTGTTCCATATTACATAGGAACCTCGCGCATTATCAAGCCCCAAACTGACACTTAGCATCCAAAGCGACTCTTTTCCCGAATGGTGAGTACATACGCCCACGCCTTTTCCGTGTTTTTCAATGTTTTCACGGGGGAATACAAGCAAAATTATAAATGTTTTCAAAACCTAAAACTAATGTATTTTTATAAATATCTGGCTAACTTTTAGAGATCTTTACCCCTTATGTATTATGCGGAGCATAAGGGATGTTTTTTTTTGAATATATATATACATGGATTTAAATTATAGTAAAGGAAACAATCAAATCAATCAAATATTATGGGAATAATTCGGGATCTTTAGTTCTTGTTTTACGAGCACAGATTTATGTAAAGTTAATAGATAAACTATGTCTGATTCAGTTTATCTCTGCTTAATTTAGAGTATATTTCCAGATAATTCCATTTTATTAAGCTGTTTATATTGTATTATGTTTCAAAACGATTAGTATGTTTGATAACGTCTGAGAATTCCGTGTATAATTTGATACTAGCTTGTGAGATTCGTCATTTTAAACCGTTAGGGTTATTAGTAAATCCTCCCCGGAAGTGTAACCAGAGTCTTCTGGATGGAGAGCGTGGAATTTGTGAATAGATGTATTCGGGACTGACAATCCCACACCTCAACTGCTAGCTACAGTTAGGCGGGCACGCCTGGGGTGACAAATTCTGGAAATCGTCCGACGTCTGACGAACGCCTAGGAGGTCTCGGTGTCGCATTAGCATGGTTACCCGACTCACAATATGTATTAATATAAGTTTATTCACAGATTTGATTTTATATCTATTTTCTATCTATAGTTCTTATATCTAGTATGAGATGGTAGTCCCATGGTTTTCAATCTATATCTAGTACGAGATGGTAGTCCCATGGTTTTGAATCTATATCTAGTACGGGATGGTAATCCCATGGTTTTGAATCTATATCTAGTACCACTACTAGAAAACAACCCTTTAATGACGGGCAAACAATGACACTCGCTGATAGACGACGCACATTTGTACGTGCCCTAGAAAATAATGTCAGTTTTGAAAATATTGAAGGATAGAGGGCACGTATTTGTGCGCGCCCTAAAAGTAGTGTCCAACAAAAAGAAATTAAAAACACGGAGGGCACCTATCCTAAAAAGCGTGTCGTGTTACCCTGTAGATTTATAATTTTAGTATATGAATGTGCGTTTTAATTGTTTAATAGAGGGGGAAATGAAATCGAAAAAATTAAAAACCCCTCCTGTTGCGCCTCCTCCTTCCACAGGAACGCTCATCTCGATCAGAATCTCTCTCTCTCTCTCTCTCTCTCTCTCTCTTTCTCTCTCTCTCTCTCTCTCTCTCTCTCTCTCTCTCCCCTTCATGGTACAGACCACCACTATCTTGTATATGGAATGTAATAAACTGGGCCAAGAAGAAAAGGAAAGGGTGATTTCTTGGCTAACAAGCCTTCGCAAAGTGATTCCTCTCAATCTTCATCCTCTCCATACTGTTTCTCCTCTTTTTTGCTTCTATTGAATCAAATATCGCTAAATAAAAACATAACCAGTCAAGAAATCTCCCGAGGAAAAATGGCCCGTTGTGGTTCGCGTCTTGCTCCGCCACCGTCAGCAGCGTCAGCCCTAACATCTTGATCACCTGAAGTATCGTTTTCAGTTAACCTCTTCTCTCCTTCACATACATATTAAAATGGAGTATGTTGTTTACAAACAATGATTCACCTTCTTTTATTCCTAGATTTTCTCTCGTTAGCATCGCCAGAGTGGCTAGCCCTAAAATCAATCGGAACTGTACTTCAATTCCCACAGAGTGGCCCGGTTTATTACATTCCATATACATTTACTTTCCTTCGATTCTAACCCTAGTTCGTTCTCCCCCCCCCCCCACCCCCCCTTTTCCTTCACAAACACACATGGATTATGAGTTCCTTATCTGTTCCTATGGGGTTCACGATGCGTGGTTTATACATCTAGCGTTTCTGAATTCGAGTATTATGCACACAAATGTCAGAAGAAATATGGTCAACCAACTCAAATATGGTCCGATTCCAATTTTCAAATCCCTCATAGATGTATATAGTGCAAGATCAAATTACAGATGAAACCCTAATAGCATTATGCAACAACAGAAGAAGTTGATGATGTTGGAGAAAAATGTTCTTGCTTGTTCTCTTTCACATGCTTTGCATTCTTTTTCTTCAGGGATTTTAATCCATTCTTTAAAACTGTGTAGTCTGCAATTTATTTAGGGCTTAATTTGTTTAAAACCATGTCTTTTCAAATTTGTATCCATGTTAATGATACTCACCAGGTGGAGTTATAAAAAAATATCCTTTTTTATTAAATTTTCCTATGGTTCTGTAAAGTCTTATAGAGTAGATAGGTGTTTGATTGTGAATTATTGTCCATCCCATCTATCATGTATTTAACAATCTAATTATATTTTGGTTGCTTACCATGGGTTGTTATCTTCACCCAATTTTCTTGCAAGAGAACTAGCAAAAACATGATCTGTTTTAGAAGTTGCACTGGGCTTCTTAACTTTGGGTTCCGGTGTGCTGACTAGCTTCTCAAATACATCTTCTTTGGGTGGGGTAGGTGCAGGGGGCTTTTGGTGCTGCATCATCTGATGTTTGGGGTTTTTAATCTTTAAATTTATGTTCATATATCTGTATAAAATACGTAACACCCCGAGATTAAAGTATTATTATTTCATCCTTGCTCTTTGTGTTTAGCCATGTTTAGCCCTTGAGTAATCTTTTGTTTAGCAAGTGAGTACTCTGGGCGTACCATAAGGGGTACGCTGCGCTTACTCAAGCGTTTAAAAAGAACACGTTATCGCCAAGGTACACTAGGCGTACCAAGAGTTACGCCGGGGGTACCCGGGCCAGGTGCAAAACCCTAATTCTGTGTTGTGCACTATTTAAAGGATGTTAAGGCTCATTTCTCAGGCTCCATATCAGTGAGTAAAACCCTAAGAGAGAGCCTTCCATCATCCTTAGTGTGTGTGTGTGTGTTCTTTGAACTAATAGTGCCTTGGTGTGTTAGTGAAGAAGGAAGAAAGGAGCTTGTGGAGACTAAAAGCTTGAAGTGCAAGTTTGGATCTGAAATCTACAGAGAAAGGAGCTGCATTTAGAGGTATAAAGTTCAAAACTTTCCTCTTCATTTTGGTTTGTTGTTGCATGTGCCATTTCTAAGGTTAAAAACCCTAAAGGTGGAGACTTTATGAGTGTAAGGTGCTCCATGGTCCGAGATCTGTCCCTTTTCAGTGGTCTTTGAGGTCTAGATCCATAAAGTTCCCATCTTGGTCGTTGATAGAAGGTCATGCTTGAGTTCTATGCTTTCTAGGGTTAGAGAATGAAATGTTTTGGGTTCTAGTGACTTATTCAGCCATGCAAAGGCTTAAATTCATCGACTTTATGGCTTAAGAGGCTTAGAAATGTTCAGATCTAAAAGTTGGATGTGGGTCTTAACCGTTTAAGACCTAAAAGAATTAAGGTGCTGAAGCTGGGAGTACGTCGGGTGTAATCCTAGTACGCGCCGCGTACTAGGTAGCGTCACCCGATCCTGAGAGGCAGCCGGTACGCCCAACGTACACATCTGGTACGCGCAGCGTAACCCAGAAAGTTGACTTTTGAGCTGACTTTTAGGCTATGGTCTATTGTGGGGCCTTTGAGTTGTGAGAGGGGTAAAATAGTCTTTTACCCTTCTGAGAGTGTCATAAGAGGACATAGTCTAGCCGTTGAGAGTTATAATAATTAGGGTATTTATTCTGATTAGGCGGAGGTTAGACCAACGTTACCGAGTCAGAGATTACCGAGATACCCGAGCTGAGTTTTGTCACTATACTTTACCTAGTGTGGTAACAGAGTTATGTGATAGAGTATTTAGAGTTATATGCCAGTGTAATTGCATGTTATTTATGTGCTATGATTTATTGTGATATGTGCTATGTATGATTCAGAGTTACAGAGTTACGACTTTCGGGTCGATAGAGTTAGGGCCAGAGGGCCCATAGTGAGTTGGCGCTGGAGGGCCCCACTGAGACAACTAGACCTGAGGGTCAATAGAGTTACAACCTCGAGTGGCTATTATGTCTTAGAGTGGTATTTTGGGGAACTCACTAAGCATTTATGCTTACAGTATTATGTGTTATGTGTTTCAGGTACCAGTGATGATCGCGGGAAGGCGCCGACATGATTCGTACACACGCACACCGGAGTTTTATATATATATATATATATATATATATATATATATATATATATATATATATATATATATATATGATCTTGGGTTTTGTACTGATACAATGTTGATACAATGTTTTATTTATGATTACAAATGATATTTTATGCGTTACAAAAGTGAAGAATTGTTCAAATTTTTACGGTGTTACAAAATAATTAAAATATGACTTTGTTTCATGTTGGGTCAAAGCTTATGCTTACTTTATTTGTCCTGTAACAGATTGAAAATGTCTTATTGGTCAGAGATTCAATGATGCCTCTGTATAGAGTGACATAAAGTTATGGCCTTCCACTTATTGGGAATGGATCCACCAAGTATAATATGACTTCATTATGTTCCCTTTACTTGATATGATGAATAACGTTTCTCAACAGTTTGGTAAATATTTGTTTTTTTTTACAGGATTCAGCCTGTGTATGTTGCTGATGTGGCATTTGCAGTTGTCACCGCCTTGAAAGATGATGGTAGCAACATGGGAAAAGTATATGAACTTGGTGGGCCATATGTGTATACATTACATCAATTGGTGATTGATTCTCATGATTTCATTTGTCCTGTTCAAAATTCAAACTAAGATTGAGTCATCATAATTTGATCTTTATTATTTTTACAGGCTAAGCTTATGTACAAAATGATTCAATAATGGCCTCATCATGTTAATTTGATCTATGACTAAACTGCCCTTCCTAAGTTGGTGGTTGATTTTGGCTCTCTTGAACTTTCACCTATTGATGGAAGGACACTGACAAATTTCATGCACACAAGGGGTTTGTGTATGTGCTCTTTAAGGCGAGTGGTAAGAGTCTTAAAGAATCAGCCACAGGGGCTTGTTCCCATAGATTATCATATGGATTCAGATTACGCTTTAAAGAAGTATGATAATGTAAGCATGGATCTTGTTTATAAACATGTTGCATGTTCATCTGCTGATGGGCATACACTTTTGGAGTCATCTAAAACATCTTTGGATAAAGGCAAACTTGAAGATGCTGTCAACTTTGGAACAAAGGTAACTAAATCTTTTGTGTTGACTTTTCATTTATACAATAATAAGTCAAATAAGGTCTAACATTATTACTATGTACAGGCACTGTCTAAACTTGTATCTATATGTGGTCCTTATCATTGAATGACAGCTAGTGCATATAGTCTTTTGGCTATGGTGCTTTATCATACTGGTGATTTTAATCAGGTACATGAGCATTTTTTCTTGTGTTGACTTTTTTTTAATACAAGAATAAGTCAACTAAGGAAGGTGTCTCGTAAATATTTAATAAACAATTTGGGACTGTTCTTTCACCAGCTTTTCTTCATGTTGCTGAAGCTTTAAGTCTGCAATTTGGAGTTCTAGAGATTCCAGCTTCAACTGCATGTATCAATATCAATATTACTTTTACAAAAATAAAAAAGAGAAATTCCATTCAAGTTGCTTTGCATTAATTATAAGGAGTTCCCTGTTGAGTATATTGTTGGACAGTAAGAGCATTGTGCTCCTCCTTTTGCTTCAATTGGTTTCTTAACCTGAACAACATTTGTGATAAAAAAATATGTTCAATAAATTTGGCATGGAAATGGAATATTATATATATATATATATATATATATATATATATATATATATACACATACATACATACATATATATTGTTCTCCTCAAGTTGAGTCAAGCTGTCATCCTTTTGCTCCTCCAGCTTATTTGTAACGTTCTATAACACACAAAAAAAAACAAAGTTAGGTCTTCCATTGAAGGGTTGGCCTCTAACTATAAGTTTCGTATATATAGATGTTTCTTTCAGTAATATACAAAATTTCATAGTTCACATTGGGGTTGACATAAGAATACAAACGCAGGGAATTGACCAACTACGCCCTGGTATAGGTCTTCAAGTCCATAAACCCAATTTACAGAACCCAAATCAGTTTTATTTGGCATCACAACAACAACAGCAACACGAACATCAACAACAACAACAATTATTAGCACATGCTCAGGCACAAGGAAAACTTGGTGCATCACCAAATTACGGATTTTCTAGATTATCAAGAGGCAATATAATCATGAAAGATGGTCAACCGTTGAGAAACGAAGGATCTAATGGTATCTTTAAGAATGCTAAGGTACATACCACTTTTTTTTAATATTACAAATATTTTATATTGTAAAATAATCTTTCTTGTTTTCTCATAACATTGAGCGCCTAAAGAAGTACTTTGATATATGTGGTGGTCCAGTAACCTTTATTCAGGTGCTTCTTTTATATATTTTTTTGGATTGAATGCTTTGTGTAACTTCCACATGGTGCACCTTAGGTTGTCCCCTAACTTCCATTTTCATAAGTTTTCTAGGTTTAAAAAAGATTAAGAAAAGAGGAAGTCATGGATCCTAAAAATGACCCACTCAGTAAAAACAAACCCACTCAGTAGGAAAATGTCCCAACTTTGGTGAGTTTTTTTGGTCCCAGCTTCTGGGTACATGGAATTTTTTATTTTCATAAATTAATTAATCAGAATGACTCAGTTGATATTGCCTGCTACATGATCAGGTGCCTCTCTTGATCTTGTCTGTTTGTTCTATCAAGCCTCTAAAAGATTCTCCTGTTCTTATGTATTTGCCTGGTAATTTGTGCTTGGTTATAAAATTAAACAAATTGCCATTTTACCCCTGCAAGATATGCTTATATTTACTTCCTAATTGGATGTGATACTTTGTGCAGGGTTGGAAGGAATTGGAACTGGCCTTGTTGTAAATGAGAAAGCTCTTGGAAAGTGTGTTGAATTTAGCTAATTCATTATTGAGTTAGATGGGCCAATGTGCAACTGCTTATCCATATAATCAGCTGTTTGGAGCATTAATCTTAAAGAATTATGAAATGGAAGATGCAACTTTACTTAGATGGAATTTGATGTACATAGTAGATTAGATGCAAATTTATATATTGTAAGAGATAGAATTGTATGACATTAAATTTATGCAATGGATTCTATTTTTTGTATATGATATTTTATTTTCTATTATGAAACATCAAATACAAATTTAATTTGAAAATAAGTAAATCTATAAATAATATTTTTTTAAACATTTAAAATTATGATACGCAAAAATGTGTGTCATCTTCATTTATGACATGGCCTTTCTTGACAGGGGCATTCTTGATACTCATTGCATGTCATTAACACGCGCATCGAAAGGTTACGACATGCGAATGCGTGTCATCTTCCTTTATGAAAGGCCCTTCCTTGATACGCATTGTGTGTCGTAAATGTGCGTCGTAAATGGGCGTCGTCTCTCTTTATGACAGGGCCTTCCTTGACGTGCATTTGCGTGTCGTCTGAACCTTTTACGACGTGCAATGAGCGTTGTAAAAGCCTGTTTTTCTAGTAGTGTACGGGATGGTAATCCCATGGTTTTGAATCTATATCTAGTACGGGATGGTATTCCCATGGGTTTCAATCAATATCTAGTACTGGATAGTATTCCCATGACTTTCAATCTATAGTTTTGTGTATTAAAAACTATTTTATATCTAGTACGGGATAGTATTCTGTCACACCCCGAAAACCAAAGGCGGAAACGTCTCCAGGGTGGACTACCACGTTGTGTATCAAATCCAATGTACATAGTAATCACAGTAAACAAACATTACATTACATATATATGAAAGTTTACATTTGTTCAAAAGTAAAGTTATACAAGATATACATATGCATCATATTAACAAAAGTTGAGACGAGTCTTCCACGCACTCCGTCTTCACCAAAAGGAGATCACCGGGTACCTGCCTAACTTGGACCTGAGAATACAAGCGGTTTGAAAATCAGCATAAAGCTGGTGAGTTCATAAGCGGTTTTGTTTTATGAAAATGTATCGGTTTCCTTTAATTTCCGAAAAGGTTTGTTATCCAAGAAAATCCCATATTTTCTTATGTAAAGTTGATTTAGTTATCATGTGTTATCAATTCGATTATGTATTGTATTCTACCCCAGGAAAATCCCATATTTTCCTAATTATAAGATCGGTTGTATAACACAAAGTATAGTTTAACATCCAAAACTATATAATGAAAATCTTGGGATCACTATCCCGAAAGACATATATAAGATAGTTTGACACATCCGAAAGTACAGGTTTAAGGTCATGGGATTATCATCCCGGACTAGACACTAGATAAGTTGATGTATATATGTAAATATAGATTGAAACCATGGGATCACTATCCCGAATAAGATACAGATTTAGAAAACCATGGGATCACTATCCCGTATAAGATATAGTTAAAGACGCAAAACCTTGGGATCACTATCCTGTATAAGTTATAGATACAAAACCATGGGATCACTATCCCGTATAAGTTATAGATACAAAACCATGGGATCACTATCCCGTAAGATATAGTTAAAGACCATGGGGAAAGACATCTCGTACAAGCTGTGAATACAAAACCATGGGATCACTATCCCGAACTAGATAGAAAATAGTTAGGTTAATACCATGGGATCACTATCCCGAAAGAGATATAGGAATAAACCATGGGATCACTATCCCGTATAGGACATCGATATAAAATAGTTTGATAATACCATGGGATCAATATCCCGAAAGAGATCTAGAAACAATATCATGGGATCACAATCCCGAAAGAGATATAAAATATAGATGCAAAACCATGGGACTGTTGGATAAGGTGTCTAAGTCCATAACTATTTCTGGTATGTACTTGACCCGACCCGGCATGGTCCATTTGGGTTGCATGGCACCATGCAATTGGATAGACTAAATGAGAGAAATAACACTTGGAGATTATTAATATATTATAAGTTCTAATATATTAATAATATTATTTGATTAGTTTGATCATGAATTAATTTAGAATTAATTAAGTGATCAAAAGATAACTAATTAAATATATGGGTTGATTATGTAAATCATCCATATCTTGTATAGTGGGCTAAAAGGCTCCATGGACTATCAAGTTGGGTTCCACCCATAGGATGCTCCATGGATGCTCCATGGGAGTTACAAACCCATGGGTCATGGAAATGAAGAGTCATGACACATTAGGGTTTAACCCTAGATGTGTCAACACTATATAAGTAACATGTTCTCCACCCAAAATCGGCTACACTAAGAAACAAGAGGGCTTGGCCGATTTTGAGAAGTGAGTATTCTCTCATAAGTTCTTCCAAGAGCATTTGGTGTTGTGTGAAGCATTTGAGGCATCACACTTGGGGTGCTAGGCTCACAAGGTTTCAAGGAACACAAACAACAACAAGGTAAGTTATTCTATCTATACTTTATGTTAAAATTGTTCCCCATGTATGCTAGATAGGAATATAACCTTGGAATTCAACTTTGCATGACAATTAGACAAACATAGATCCAAGGTTATTAGGGTTGCATGTACACTTAGGAAGTGTTAGAATGCTCAAAACCCATCAGTGGTATCAGAGCCTAGGCTTGTTTGTTCTTATTTGTGCTTAAAAGTTGAAAACAGAATCGGAAATCTTGCTGTCTGCGAATGGACTCGTCGAGTCTATAGGGGGGACTCGTCGAGTCCATGAGTATCTTCAACCAACTCGGCGAGTCAGTTTATGCACTCGGCGAGTAGGGTCGAATGAGTGCAGAATTTCGATTCAGTTGCTGGAAAATGAATTAGAAACATTACCCTAAACTGTTTTGGTAATTGAAAACTTGTTTTTGGTGGTGTAATGTCTTTGCTAATTCATTTACAACAACTAGTTATCAAAATTACAAAGTTTTATGTAATTTTTGATTGTGTTCATATTCATGTTCTTGTTCTTATGATGTTTTAGATGATCATAGGAATTATTTGTAACCTATTTGGTAGTTTAATTCTTGATCATAATGTGTTTTAATGGAGTCCATAACTTATCCTTAAGTTATGGAAAACCAAGAGTCACACTTGAGTTAAAACCATTAAGAAAACACAAGAGTTAGAAAAATGAAGAGTCTTCATTTTATTACTCTATTAAACTCATAAGTTACAAGAAATGAAAAGTTTTGAAAGTTACAAAACTTGCCCTCAAGTTTTGGAACAAGTAAAGTTAAGTTAAAACTTTAAGTTCCAACCCCTAGAATTTTAAAAGTTAAAATTCAACCCTTATACTTATATTATGATGATTTAATAATTATATATATATGTATAAGAATAAAGTCGTCTTACCGCTAGTACGCCTCATTCACGAAGCCGGTCTATAAGGTGGGTATAAGGTTGTTGCCTATAAAATGGTGACTTAATGGGTGAATATTCTCACCCACCGCTTGCTTGACTGGTGGAGGGTCGTTAGCCGAACGGGTAAGACAAGGACTTATAAATTCTCATTCAAAGTATGATGAATATAATAAAGTAACTAAATGTTTATTAAATTCCCAATCTTAGTTACTTTAGGAAAAATGTGAATAAGGTGCTAATCCATGAAATTACACTTTACACTTTGTCTAAGTCGTTGGTGGAGCGTGTGTGGTTAACCGGCACACTAACTTGGACTTAACAAGGTAGGTAAAGGGTGACTTAAGGTTTATTATAGTATCGGTGGAGCGTGTGTGGTTTACCGGCACATCGATTGAGTGATAAACTTTAAGGGTACCAAGTGATTTGCATGGTTACTTCACACCTCGTTTTGTGATCCTCGGCATCCCAGTCACAAAACCTGGAGGGCACTCTCGAGATTGAAACATGCCTTTGAAAAGTTCATTGGATCTCAAAGAATCTAGGAATTTCTAAAACCAATAAAAACTAAATATTAATATTTCGGTTTTCGTGGTGGAAATTGGTGAATCGTCATTCACCTACCTTTCAAATATGGTATAGCTTAGATTACGGCATACCTCTTCTAAGTTATATTATATTGTGATTGGATCCTAGCCTTAATATTACATTTGGGTGTTTTATTAAGGACTCTCTTAAATCTAAACTAAACTTGTTCTTCTCTTTCAGATGTCTTCAAATAATGCTTCTGGCTCGAATCCTAATGGCTCCTTTACTCTTATGAGTTTGTGTGGGAAAGTCACCTTTGATGGATCCAACTTCAATAAATGGATCAGAAACATCAGGATGATTACCCGCTACGAGGACAAAGAATATGTCCTTGACAAGGAGCTTAAGGAAATTGACGAGTCCACTGCAACTCCCAGGAGATCGCTGACTTTCATACTCATGAAAGAGATGCAACCAAGGTGGCTTGCATCATGTTGGCCACCATGACAGCTGAACTCCAAAAGTCTTATGAAGATTTCTACCCTTATGAAATGCACCAAGATTTGATGGAAAGATACCATCAAAGTGCACGACAAGAGAGGTACGAAGTCATCTGCTCCATGATAACAACCATGATGAAGGACGGAGAGTCCGTCACGAGCCACATGCAGAAAATGCAAAGGTATGTGGATCGTTTGCTGAAGCTCAATGTGAACTTCCCTGAGGAGCTTGCAATAGATATCATTTTGCACTCCTTACCATCGTGCTATGATCAATTCCGCATGACATATCACATGAACAAGGAAGAGGTCACCCTCAGCAAACTTCAGGGACTTCTCAAGACCGCAGAAACAGGTCTTAAGGGGAAGTCGGTTGCTATCACTCCTACTCCAGACTCAACTCCGGTCTTGGCAATCGGGCAAAGTCGAGGGAGGAAGAGAAAGAGATCTTCGAAGGGTACCAAGGCTCGGACCCTTGATGGCTCTTCTTCAAGTGGAACCAAGAAAGGTTTCATTACTCCTTCTTCTGACCCAAAAGAGGCTGAATGCTTCTATTGCCATGAAAAAGC